TTTGCTGTTATGAGCCATTTGCTCGAAGTTATTTTTTAGAAAATACCGGAATTATGGGCCGATAACTTTTGGTTTTTGCACCGTCGCATACTACATTAATTCTTCGCCAAATTTTCAACCAATTTCGTTCCGCAACTACCGCATTCACTTGATGTAGCTCCGTGTGACTCCTGACTGACCGCTCCGGGGAAGCTGTATTGAGTTACACGTGAATTAAAAGTTACTATGTTTTGCTCATAGCTAACATTTCTTGGTCATATAACAGCATAAAAAAATTTTTGTAAGTTTCAGTCAATATTTTTTCGCAGTTAGTCTTTATGACAGTTACTAGATTTATATTCAGTTTGGTTTGCGGCTTCATAATAAACCGACTTATTCTTGAACCACATTTCGCGCAAATTTATTATCAAAATAATGGTTCGCGTGATGCATCGAGGCTTGCGTGCAATATTCGTTCGACATAATTGCCCAGCAGAGACGGTAATTCGAGCAACCTTGGATCGATGATTGAACTAGGTTTACTCTAGTCTGTAATGCTCGTGCTCAGAGATGGCGTATAGTGCGCTGTTATGGAGTACTGACGAAGATCCGAATGAGTCCGTCCACTATGGTCCCCCAGAAATCCACTTTATAGAAGGTTTTATACAAAACGCTGGGTTTGCGGGCTTAAAAGGTTCAGCTCGTGCAAAAATTTAAGGTGATCGATCACCAAGCGCGTCGCACGTTCGGTGAATGGGCCCAAAACTAGATGGCCATGTATTCCAATATTCCCAAGAAAATTTTGCTCAGCGATGAAGTTCACTTTTAGTTGAATGAGTACCTTAATAAACAAAATGATTGCAAAAAGAGTGATAATAATACACAAGCGATATTTAGGTTGCCTTTTAAAAGATACAGCGTGGTGTGACCTAAGGGCATTCCCTCCACCCATTGGTCCATAATTCTTCAAAAATATATTCGGCCATAATGTTACAGTCAAAGGGGAACGTTGTAGAGCCATAATTAATCACATTTTCGCGCCGCGGTTGCAGGATGGTGGTGTGAACGATCTCTGTTAACAACAAGAAGGCACTACAAGCCATGCAGCCAACGAAAGAATAAATTTATTGAAGCTAACTTTTGGTTAGCGCATTATCTTGCTTCGTGGACTTAATAGAGTGGCTTTAAAGATATTGTCATTTAGCACGGGTGGACTATTTTCTGTAGGGTTATGTGAAGTCGCTTGTGTATGCAGATAAGCTCTTTTGAAGAGAATATTCATCGCACTATTGCTGATATATAGTAAAAGCTTGAATAAGTGTTAAGCTACAAACAGTGCTTTAAAATTGATACTTTCAGCTGGAATTAATTCGAGCCAACCGCGGCGATCACTTGCGCATAATCACTTTTGAAACAATCTCAGCTAGTTGTCTCTATAAAAAGTGAATTTTTGACAACAACCTTAAATTATATTTTATTTTTAAAAAGTCTAAAACGAACACACTTTACATCATATACACTGAAATTGCGTAATTCAGTAACTTAGCATTCATATGGTACACCGTGTCGCATGAGCAACACAGAAGCTATGCAGCGTTTGTATGAATGCTCAGTACATTTGATGTATCATTTTAACTGCGTATAACTTTTAAATCCAAGCTTTTATGAAAAAAGTTGTCCAGAGCTTTTTTGTAGAACGGACAATTTTGTATTAGAATATCATATTTCCAAAGCTATAGGCTTACCATCTGCTGAGATAAAAAATTTATTACAAAATATCAAAATATCACATGTTAAATGTATAGGAAAGGAAAGGTGACTTGTGCACGGTTTGAGTATAAAATAAAAGCATAACTTTAAGACATAAACATAACGAACACCAGTATACGCCTTTGTGTATATGTTTTGCAAGCAAAATTAAAAAAAAAAAAATATTTGGCAGCGGTTGAAAACCACTCCCATTTCTTAAGGGGTGCGATTTTGAAAATAAAAATTTAATTAGATTATCTTGCATTACGCGCAATTAATTTCTATTTTTCGATCTCTAACTCATAAAATGCAATTTTTGTATTAGTTAAAACCGTTACGCCTGCCTAAAAGCTGCGTAATTATTTTGCCAGAATTTGTTGTTGCCATTTACCGAACAACCAACTTGCATTGTCCATGATGTGTTTATGAAACATTTAAGCCAACAGCATTAATAAAGCCACCACATAATCAATATACACCATTTGGAGTGCAGCAAGCGCACACAGCGGCGATGCCTCAACGAAAAACTAATTAATAATTCCCAAATGAGCAATTAATTAAGCCTAATTACACGGCGCCTATTGTGTGAGAAAGCTTTGAAAAATCCAAACAACCGTTCAAAAGGCAGAGCTGCGAAGCGAAATCACGGCAAAGCGCCCGCATGTAGGCTAACCTTTCGTGCGATTTTAGTTTGTGTTATGCGCTCATACGAACTACTAGCGCTGTAACGGTACTTTTTAGGCGCTTTATCATATACCAATAATAAATCAATAACGCCAGGGTAAACAACGCACAACGCTGTTGTTTTTTTGTTATTGTTAATGTGAGTGATTTGGCAGCGACTAGTCATAAGTAAATATTACAAGCCTGACAAACACTGCCGAACACACACACACATATGCAACATGTGAGCGCGTTCCATAAGCACGTTGCTGCGTAGGCTGCTCGTTACACACACATTGCCAATGGCCAACGGTAGTCCGATCCAATCCAATCCAAACCAATCAGCAGCCTGCCCGCATAATGGCCTCATTCATTTACACGCACGCCGCCATGTTGACGTAATTAGCGCGTCGCGGCCGCGTTGATTTTACACAAATGTGTCTATAAACATGCACGTACATAGATAACGGTTAGATACGGCACACAAACATCAGTGCACCGTTAGGCGGTGTATCGTGCCACCATATGTGGCATAGCCGTCAAATTGTTGCAGACACGGAGCAGACATGCGGTGTGATCGTTTGTGGGTGGTCCATATTTTATTCCTTTTGTTATAACAAGGCATGTGCGGTGCGATGTGTTGCACTAGGGTGGCAATTAATTAGCAGTCGCATCTGCTCACTGTTTGGTGCTAGAAGGCTCTCTACTATCTCATGGATATCTTAATTCCGAAATAAGCGGTTCATATGTGGTAATAAAATATTGTTTATTTTTTCGGTTTCCACAGCGTGTTATGGTCCTCAACATCCGTTTTACTTAATTGTCTGACATCTTGCTATAACAAATATGTGTTTTCTGCAAATAATCAATTATTATGGTAGGTTGATTTCAAGTAAAAATATATTTTCCACATTTAAGGACAACCCTTCTGCATAAACGACAAGAAAAATGTACACTTTGGTTACCTCGAAGCCGTAACTCTCTTTATTGGCGCTTATTTATGGCATAAAAGGGTATAAAAAGAACTTTATTTTGATTTTGATCCTTCACTTTGTATGGCAGCTATATGCTATAGTTGTCCGATCTGCACAATAAGCTGGGAAATTGTAGCAGTGCCTTAAATAATAATCTATGCCAGATTTCCCGAAGATATCACGTCAAATAAAAAATTTTTCCTTACAAAGACTTCATTCCGATCGATCAGTTTGTATGGCAGCTATATATTATAGTGGACCGATATCGACGGTTCCCACAAATGTTCAGTTTCTTGGTGAGAAAGAGACGTGTGCAAAAGTTTAGACCGATAACTCAAAAACTGTGCGACTAATTCGTGTGTATACAGACGGATAGATAGAGGTATATTGCTTAACCAACTCAGCTCATTGCTGTTGTTGTTGTAACAAGTACCCAATCCCCGCTGGGGTAGTAAAGATTAGGTAAGTTGTCTTTGAGGTCATCCAACGGTAGGTCGTGGGAACGCGCTGTTTCGACGTAAGTTGTCTTTGAGGTCATCCAACGGTAGGTCGTGGGAACGCGCTGTTTCGACGGGGTTGGACCATAGGGAAATATATGTCAGATGTGTGGGGTTAGCAGGGATTGCAAAGCGGTGGCTAGTGTCACGCGGAGACTCGTTGCACGATAGACACATGTTTGATATAACAAGAGTTAGGAGTTTAACATTCCACAGTATTCTGAACAAAGCAACGCAAAGATCACTATCGATTCTCGAGTTGCCAACTTTTCGTCTGCAATGTGTAGTGGGTCCACTCCAAGTACATACGCCATTCACTGAGAGGGAATTGTTGAAATGTCGTGTTAATGGCGTCTGGTCGACGTATTGTTTTATGTCTGTGACGTAATGGAGGAAGGACCTCTTAATGCTGCTAGATAGCTACGCTGTAATGTTTTCTGCGAAAGCAACCCAGTAGAAACAGCTTGGAGAAGAGTTCATCACTGCGCTTGATGCTAATAGGAAGCAGTCCGCACCAATCAGGTATCTGCAGGGATGCTTTCGTCGATTCCATTATGATCCTAAACTGAAAGCATATAGGCCTCACTGTGCAGATGTTCGATGGGAGACGTCAATGTCATCCTGTTGTAGTTCGGAGTGCAGTGTTCAGACAGCTTAAGTTTGCAGCTAACTAGTCTGCGTTTCACTGCTTCCAGGCTTCCATATCATGCACAATGATCATTTACACTTATACAAACTTTCTAGAGTCTCTGACCCTATCCTGTTGGGTGATCTTCTGATGATCGTCATATCTCGTTTGGATCTACGTTCCGCAAAGTTAAAGTAAAAGTTAAAGGAAATATACTGTCTCGTAAAATTTTGAGAATTTCTAAGAGTACGCAAAAGGTTGGAAGAGATTTCTTGTTTACTTATCTTATTAGTTCCAGTGATAAATTAAAAGAAACTCCCGAAAATACCTTCCGATCTTTCGAGCTTAGTAAGGCAAGGACTTGTAATGGTTCCTTGAACGTCAAAATAGGCGAAATGATGAGAAATCAGCGGGCGCAACTCTACGTATAGCCTTAAATGTCTTTGATTTTATATATAAATATATCACGAAGACACATATTTAACGAATTATCTCTTTTCAAATTTCCAGGCGCTGGCAATACACACTGGGGTTATGGCTCAGCATCCGCTTACTCGCCCTACTTAGCCGGTAGTGGACTTTCGTCCTGCACAACACCAACTTCGGCACAATTTAACAATCCAGCTTTGGGCTTTACCTGCTCCTCCAATGATCAGTCGAACAATCAGGACTTTACAGGCGGAACAAATCGGGATTGTGTACCAAGTAAGTATGAAAACAATTTAGTTTAAATACCGACAAAAAGTTTTGGAAGCAAAGACTAGAAAACAACATCGAAACGAAGACTGTAAAGAATGTCTAATGTCAAACAATGTTTCCTATTATTGACCCCTATCGCTTAACGAACTTTTCGACAGAAAACTAACATTTCCAATACATACTCTCTTCTCTCCAGTGCTGCCCGACTCCACGGCCACCGATTTGGATCAGCACTTGAGCAATCTCGTGGGCTCCACCACCGGACAGATGACACACCACAGTCTACTCGGCTCGAGCGGTCAATCGGCGATCTCTTCAACAGTCAATGGTGGTGTCGGCACAAATTCGATACTGGTGCCACGCTATCACCACACCAATACCAACAACGATTACAATGTACACTCCAGTCAGAATGGACCGCGCAGCTTGAGCGACTCCTCACAAGCCGAATCGCCGGTACAAGAAGATCTACTCACCACGAATACACCTAATTTGGGGGGCGGCGGTGCCGGCGCTGGCAGCGGCGGTGGTGGGGGTGCCAATGGTACGAACAACGGCACTGCCAATGGCAGCAGCGGCGCTGGCGCTGGCAGCGGTTCCAACTCATCCGCGGCGAATAACACGCTCGTAGGTGCCAATCAAAACTTTCCCGGACTGGTTAATCAGACACAAAACCCATCGCATTATGGCAGCGGCACCGGTGCGGGTGTCGGTGTTGGTGTAGGCGTAGGTGGTGGCGGTGCGGGCGGCGCCGGTGCCGGTTGTAATGGTTCGCTGTACCCTGTCTTGCCGGCCAGTCTGCTCTACTCACAACTCTACACGGCCGCCAATCAGACGCATGGCTTTCACTCGCATGCGCTGACACCGACACACGCCTCACCGAACTCATCCGTGCACGGCGCCGAATTGCAAAGCGTTATGGATCATATCAACAATGTAGGTGTGGGAGTGGGCGTGGGCGTAGGCGTGCGTCAACAGCACAACATTATGACGGGCGGCGGTGTGACGCATCCCGGCGATTTGACGCTGATCGGCAATTGTGGCGCCTCGGTGCGCAATATCGAAGACGGCAGCAATACGCAGCGGCAAGTGGCTGCCTTGGCGGCACATCGCGGACATCACACACCCACCGATAATGGGGGTAGCGTGTGGCGGCCATATTGAGGTCAGGTGCTCTGGTGCGGCTCGGCCGTCCTATAGTGTTACGAGAACCTGGAGAGCGAGCGTGAGAACGCCGGCGGCACCAGTGAACCGACAAAATATTGGTATGGCTGAGGGACAAGTGTGGTGAGTTACTACTTTGTGTGGTGGCATATGGTGAAATGAGGTAGCGAGTGCATTTTGCCAGCCAAGATTTGTGTATATTCTAATGTAAATAACTTAGTAGCCGACTTTGCAGGTGAGCAACTAACTTTTAAATGTGACTTTGTAAACATTTTAAAGCGTAAAGGAAAAAAAACTAGTCGAATTTGTTTTAAAATATTAGCATTAGCAATAAATAGTCAAGTTGTTTTTTTAAGTATTATTTAATTCATATTAAAGTCTACACTTAATAAACTCTACTCGTAAGTCTCTAAGAGTCCTTAGCAAATTA